TGCTGATCTTTGGATCTTTCTGTTCATCAAAGAATCCTGAAAAAAATGCACTCAACTGTTTTAAATATTATTAATAATAATAATAATAATAATAATAAATCAGAACATTAGAATGATTTCTGAAGGATCATGTGACACTGAAGACTGGAGTAATGACTGCTGAAAAAATCAGCTTTGAAATCACAGGAATAAATTACATTTTAAAATATAATATTATATTTTATCATATTAAAATATAATAAAATAATTATATTTTAATATTATAAAACAATATCAAAATATAATATTTCACAATATTACTGCTTTTGCTGTATTTTGGATCAAATAAATGCAGGCTTGGTGAACAGAAGATAATCTTTAAAAAAACATTAAAAAATAATCTTACTTTTTAAAAACTTTTGACTGGTAGTGTGTGTGTGTGTGTGTGTGTGTGTGTGTGTGTGTATATATATATATACTTTATTTAGTTAGTCTTATACAGCATAAACTTGATCAGCAAGCATGGTACAAAAAGAACAACAGTACGGTACAAATATATAAAAATAAAAGGAAACAGAAAAAGTATTAATTGTCAGAGATAAATATTTCTGATACATGCGATATTAAAAGGTCAGTCGAGTCAAAAGATCACAATGTTTACATCTTTAAGCCAGGTATACAGAACAATAGCACAAAAAATAAATAAATACATTACAAGGAAAATTACAAAAATACAAAACAAGATCAATAAATTTTCTGAAATGTATATTATAATTAAGCAAAATGTATAGTTTAATTATAGATATTTACATTAATAAATATTAAATAAAATAATATAAAATTCAATTAAATTAATAAGTCCACACATTTTGTTTTAAATGTATTTTGCAAATGCTGACTTACAGTTGGAGCTCCAGCTAAACACAAGTGTTAAAGAACACCAAGAACTTTTCAGCACTTCACTGTGGTTTCAACATGACAAAGTGATCTCCCCACACCCCCTCTCTCTCCACAAGTCTACAGTACATGTTCCTCTTGGCACGAAGCTTGTCCATCACAAGATGCACCCAACAGGAACCCTCCCTTCTCTTTTAGGAAAACCAATCTCCTGCTTCCACAATGCTAGTGAGAGGTTCCAAAGATCATCTTTTGAAGAAACTGCATTTAACCCTGAACTAGGGCCATCTCTACCATATAAAACCGTGAACTTGACTTGTAAAAGGAACATGCATACAAATGATCTCAGATCAGGATAAAGTGGCAACAATGGAGTCTGTTGTTTGAGAAATAGAGCTGCTCAACTTCTGGTAAGCCCAGCAGCTAATCAGAGCTATTGTGTGAGGAAGAGAAACACGCTAAATACAGTTGAGAAATGTAGAAGGAATTTAGTTAATATGTTAATTTTTAGGAATGTTTATTCTTGTCAAAATAGAGAAACATTGTGTTATTGCTCCATGGAGGAAATGACAAACGGACAAGTTCAAGCATTAGGAAATTCTAATGTGAAATTAATTTCACGTTTGTGCATCACTAAATGGATAAAATCCCAGCATTGTTCAAAAGACACAAGAAGAATCAGCTATTCATCCTTTGGCCTCTTTCATGATATGATTGTCCAAGATCTTGTGGGTTATATTTCATCCAGCAGCATAGCTCCAAACAACTCTCTGTCTTTCCCTAGAGCCCCATTAACAGCTTTCCCATGGAGATGTTGACACCCAAGGTTGTGCTGGTCCACCCATGTGGAAACATTTTTATCCACCTGTAGAGACATGCTGTGTAATATCTGGCCGATGCTAATCATGACACGTGTGAATGATTTGTATTCTTTTTTAAGTATATATCTTTTCATATATATATTTTTCATTAATTTCATGTGAATTTTATAACATTAGACTAAAAAAAACCTGCAATGTTAAGTACAGTGTGAGAGAGTTAAAATTAAATTATTATTTAAATGAATAATTCATATGAAAATAAATAGGTTTGTTTACTTAAAGGGATAGATGACCAAAAAATGTAAATTCAGCGAATTTATTCGCTCTCATTTCTTTACAAACCTGTATGAATTTCTTCCTTCTGTGGACCATAAAAGAAGATATTTTGATAAAAGGCTTTGAGAAATCATTTTTTTATGTACAATTGAACTTCATTGGTTAACAAAACTGTTTGGGTAATAATATTCAATATAACATATCTTCTTTGCTGTTCCACACAAGAAAGAAAGTCATGCATCAGGTTTGGACAGACAAGAGCGTGAGTAAACGATGACAGAATTGTCATTATTGGGTGAACTGTCCCATTAAGGGTCAAAGTACAACATTTTAACCATTAAAAATCCATATAGCCTACTAAACTGTCATTCGAAAAGTTGTGAAATATGACCAGACTGTTCACATTTAAGGCTGGTTACTGTCAGTGCTGTGTGTCAATGACACTCACCAACAGAGTCCAGCTGAGAACACAAACCAATGTCGTGCCAAAACATAACGGTAGTGGTTCAATGGTATTATGCAAAACCTGGTTTACTGTAGTCAGTGTATTCTTCAAAGGCAACTTTACCTTTGCGGGCTGGAAAGCTGAAGTTTCGTGGGTTTCTGTTCCTCAGGTGGACGCAGGGAAGTTGTTCAGAGGCCAGTCTGGGCGCGAGGCTGGGTTCGCATAGTGCGAGCCTTTGACCCACGAGATGACCCAGTTAATGACCGCAAGCTCGTGTTATAATTAGGAAGACGCCGAGGACGTAGGGTTTCACGACGTCTATTCGCGTCTAATTTTCCGTTAAGTACGTGACGCATAAAAAGTAGCCTATAATTCGCTGGTCAAACCAAAACACTTGAAGAAAATTGTAGAACTATGTCCTTTCCACTAGAAATGTTTCATTTATAACACTTCGTGGCACAGTTTCCAAATGCTGTGCTCCTTTTCTCAGTTTGGAATTTATGTGTGAACTGAACCGGACTACAGCACGCGCGGCCTGTAGTCCGCCTGTTGCGTCTAGGGCGCACGCGCAAACGACAACACAGCAGGCGGCGCGCGGTGGGAGGTTGTCTTGACCATGAACCTGGCTGTGTCATATTTTGCATTATTTACAGTTTAAACCCGAAATAATAAACCCGAGAGCGTTTATGTAGAAAGAATGTGACAAATTTCTATAACGAAAATAAAATAAAATTAAACGTTAAGGCTTTTATGAGTTGTTTAACATCATATCTAGTTTTTTTGTGCTTCAGGTGGCTGTACTCTATGCTGCGCGCGACCAGATCGCTCTCTAGTGGTAGTTTTGGACAACGCTTCGTTTGTGTGTGTGCAGAGTAGAGAGGCATGGCTAATTAAAGATAACCTCCAAACCAGATTTGATCAGAAATGGGATCAAGAAAGTATCTCAATATTTAATTGAGTGAAAATAAATTCAGCTACTTCTAAAAACTATTAAGTGTGTCAAACAACAACGCTAAAATGTGTTTGATTCAATAAGAACAGTGCAGCCATGGCTCAACAAGCCTTGATTATAATAATGGTAAGAAAAGCATCTGTCCATGCAAATGATCTAATATTTTCCACCCTATTAGGGAAAGACAGTGTAGTCATTCTGGCTCTCTCTGAGAAACGTGTCTTCTAAGAGTAAGGAATGTTGTGATACAGGGTTGATGAGGTTGAAGATGACAGCCTCGGGTGAGGTGACGAGCATTAGCACACACTAATACTGTAACTCTAATAATGACCTATTGCTTTCTGTTTACCCCACCCATAACAAACACTCACATACACGTAAGCACATTCAGGGGCAACAACAACTCAGCATGCACAAAAGGATTCCTTAGATGGAAAATCATCTGTTTATTTAAAATCTGATGTAGTAACACTTCCTTCCCAAAGCTAAATTTAGCAAACTAATGCATAAGAGTACAGTATATTCCAAATTTTTCCTGATTGCACTGAAACCTTGTCTAAATCATCATTATAGACACAAATCTCAAATCTGCCTGCGCATCACTACTCAAAGGATCTGAACATCTGAAGCTACAGAGGCCTACTTCTCTTACAACCAGCTTCACTCATAATAACAGATGAAATTATTAGATCTCATAGTTTGATCAGTTTTTTTTAACCCAATTATCAGGTTCCATTCTAATTTAGGATGACTGAATAGTACTTTATCCTAATTCAACTTGTGTCTTCAATAATATACACATATAACTACCGTAAACACTGTTTGCTAAACTAACAGCTTATAGTTTAGTTATATTGCTTTTCTTGACCTCTCTGTTATATCTTTACTGTTAGATTTTTAACTAAACTTTATAAGAATAGAATCTTTGGTTTGTCTAATGAAAATGTTTTTTGCTGTGGGAGAACTTAATAACAAGATGTCCTGGATTCAATAAAACAAACTACACAAGAAAACGCACATCAGATGCATGACTATCATGGCATATAATAATGTGATTCTGGATGGATAGGACCACCATCCTAACCCTTATAAAATCTATGGCATGCATGGACAAGCATTAAAAACAAGTCATGATAAGGCTGTGCTTACAGCGCACTGATTAACATTAAAAAATAATTGCTGCTAAATCCTTCTAATGAGTCCTTCATAAAATATTGCAGTAACACCACAAAACAGTGCAAATTGTGTATGACAAAGCTCTAAAAAAAAATGATGTTTCATCCTTCACAAAAATGATTCTGCTGAATGTCTAATAACCCTGAAAAACAACTTATGGTTTGCTGGTCTTAAGGCTGGTCTAGTCTTCCAGACTGGCCCAGCTGGTCTCCCAGCTAGACCAGTTGTAAAGTGCCTAAAACCCCTTTAAAACCAACAAAAGACTAGCCTGACTAGGCTAAGAAACAAGTTATGCAGTTTTTTTTCAGCAGGGAAATATCATTATTTCCAGCATTTGGAAAATAAAGTCTCTGTGATATGGATAACTTACTCCAAAAGGCTCATAACTTCATATAAGTGCATTGCATTCATGAGTCAAACTGAGTTCAACAGTGTCAGAATGGAGGTAGTGCTCTACCATCGGGTATAAACCGCGGTTGCAATCAGCGCGTTGACTGGACGTCGGTTGATTTGGCTGCAGCGGGTTTCCCATCACCTCCGTTGTTCTGTGGAAGACTCACGCGGGTCTTCCGTTTCTCTTTGAAGCGTCCGGAGCGGGACACGGTGAGATTACGGCGATTGGAGCTCTCGTTGAAAGTTGGCTGTACAGCTGAGTCGTCATATGTTTCGTCGCTCGGTAAGCAGTTGTCCACTTCTTTCGTTGGACGTGTCGGTGAGGTGAGCTGTTGGTCCGGCTCAGCGGAGGGATGCTGTGTGGACCCTGCTGAAGGCTGATTACGGAGGTCCTGTTCCAGTGTCGCCGCCGATTCTCTGGCCGCCTTTCTCCTCTTGCCCACGAAAGACCTCCACCAGGGAGCTATTTTCTCTGTCATTGTTAAAACTAAACAGACAATAAATAAATAAATAAATACGATCAAGTTAGCCTACTACTTCAACATTAAAACTGGAAGAACTGTGTTGTAGCTATTTTTAGGTGTACCTAGCATTGAATTGTAATCTATAAACCCACGTATATGACGCTATGACGTAAGAACAACAATAGACACAACATGTCTATTCAAGAATAACAACAACACAGTGTAATCTGAGATAGATTAGACTAGAGAATAGATTAGGTTTAATATAGGCTACTTTATTGTAATAGGCTAGGCCTATATCTCCACCCTTCATTGGATACATTAATGTTATAAAATGGATATTGCTAGGGATCGATGACAAGTGATATCCAAGGTGACAAATCTTTTAAATCTAGTTTAAAACTCGTGTTAGATCACATGTTCTTAGAAATATAAACTTTGCATGTATGTTGGTTTCATAAATGATGAATGTGTATAGCCTATCATTTTCTTCCAAAGCTCTGGTTTAATGAGATATATGCCAGGAGTGTTACATTATACTTTTCTGAAGAAAAAAAAAGGTTAAGATTTTCTTTCTTTTATAATATTTTATCTTATAGTGGTTTAAAGGGGTCATCTCCGTTTTATGGTTGTCACATGACAACAAAATGTCTTCCTGTAGCCTATGTTGATTACACCATTGATATTAACATTGCTTTACAGTGTTTTTTAAGAAATAGCCTAAAATAAAAAATAGTGATAAAATATTATTCCAAATATGTTTTATCATTTTTGTTTTAAAATCTCTGTTACACCACTTCTGACATTTTTCTATTGCCATACAAAATATAAAAATGACTTTTAATTAAGAAATTGTAAGAACATTCATCATATGGGCTATATGTGTCATATTCTGTATGAATGGCATTTTAAAAATGTGCGAATAACTTCATTAATACAAAACAAATGAGCTTCACGTCACAAGACAAACAGCCTAGGATATTGCCCTGTGATGCAGAGCAGGTTTACAGCCCATAAGCTCAAGAGAGTCTTTTACAGGTGATGATTCATGCCACAACAACGAACCTGATCATCAGCCTGAGCGACTCACCTGCACAAAAATTATGAGAACAAGATAAATGCAGCCCGAGGTTCCTCTAAATGAAAGGTGTGTTGAAACAACAGAGACGCTCAGAAGTCCTCAGAAGAAATCACGGTGCGTGAAAATCATCTTTCACTCCCACGTATCCGAAGACTTCAATCACTGAGACGCAGCTTTGCGCATAACTCGACTGAATATATATCTTTGTCTGTGAGAAACCGTAACATCATCCTTTGCCCAACATCACCTGGAGGAGGTTCTGAATATGCCACGCAAAATTTGAACTTACGTGAAAGACTTTATAGTGTCGTCGCAGTTTACAAGAGTACCTGAGATTCCACCTCCGAAACTACCATGAGTGCACCTGTCCTGTCTTCTGATTGGTCGAAAGGCCTGGGGATCGGTCACGTGAGGAGAATTCAGGTAATTCTACTATGGCGGTAGGTTGGGCTTGCGGTTGCCATGGGAACGAACATCAAGTCGCTTTTTTTTCGGTGAAACTTTTTTATTTTTTTTCAAGGTGGGGAGCATTCTTGTGTGATCTAAACAAACGAGCCCAACCCTCAACTACTATGTCAATGCCTATTGATAGACTGAACGTCGAAATTAATCGAGGCTGTAGCTAAAACAATTTCATATTGGACAAAGTCAGCTTCACACAGAAGAGTAGTGTTCCCACTTCACCGAACACTGGAGTGATGCCACCGTGCTTAAATGTTGCAGAAATGACAATGGAAACATTATTCTAGGCTGTCATTCTCAAAGCCCCACATGAATATAGAATGCAGTGTGTAGGCTATGACCAGAACGGTGACGTGAGTAATGTCTGACTCCACTTTACAGTGAATGGACAGCTAATGGTGTGACAACTGTGGTGAGAAGTTATATTTCACTCTGGTTGACTGCATTAGAAAGGATATTTAGACAAAGAGCTGAACAATCCAAGGCCTCTGTGTTACTCATATCACTTTGATCAGCATATATTACATTGTAGGCTGTCTCAAGGTACTAGGATTGTTTGAGGGAATCCCTTGAGGTCTTGCAACATTTTGTCACTCCCAGCTTGTCCTGAAGTAAGAGTTTAGTGTTAAACGGAAGTGTGGACTGATGCCAGTTTCTACTGTACTATTGGCCAACAATGTTCCAGTGCGTTCACCACACACATGCTGGTACACTGTGAACCATCAAGATTTACACACATTTTTTATTTGTTTGAAGTATCTCTTTCAGTCTCTGGGTCTTTCTCTCTCTTTCATAAAGACGATCACAGATATACATTATAGATAAATCACATTTGTTTCGGAAAGATAAACGTACCTTTGAGCATACAATTACTACATTTCCACAGCAACATTTTGATATAATTTATTGTAATGCTGCTTTAATATAGATTAATATAGAAGATTTAATATAGAATCAAATTAAATGTCAAACTGCAATATTATTGCTGAAATGATTGATTGATTTGCAACTGAAAATCTGCTTGTTTATATACATATTCATACATAGATAGATAGATAGATAGATAGATAGATAGATAGATAGATAGAAAGATAGAAAGATATTTATATATTTAGTCATTTATCAGACGCTTTTATCCAAAGCGACTTACAAATGCTGGGTGGCCTGCAGGATCATCATGGGGTCATCTGAAAGACAGATGGACATCTCTTGGTTTCAGAAGAAGACTGGATGGGTCAGAGGGGGAATGGTCAGGAATGCAACTATAGTTTCAATGCACCAGCAAACTACAAGTTGTGGCAAGGAATGTCATCTGAAATAGTCTCTGCTCCCTGTGTGATGGTACCAGGTACAGTGAGGAATGTCACTCATAACAGCTTCTCAATTTTTGAGTGCATATGTGAAACAGAGAAAGAATGAGAGAGAAAATTAGAAAAGAGGAAATATCCAGGAATGTGGTTTCCACAGTATCATTCAACACTACTGTAGGCTGTACAGGAAGAGTTTATGAAATATGTCACCTGCCCTGCTGCATACTTGGGGGACTCCCTCTCTTCCACAGGGATCGAAACCACACATACTGCACATGCTAGCCACATTACATTCATTACATACATTAGAGTTGTGCAAAACTACATGTTTCTAGGAAAACTGTATATGCACCCACAGTGAGTGTTTTGTATTGCCAAATATTGCTAAATTATATACATACATTTTTTGAGAAATATTAATCTATCTAACGAAAACACACATAAACTGTGCACACATTACTGGTATTTGATGAGGGGTTAAACATTTACTTGAGCGTGAGAGTGACATACCAATCTTTCAGTATTGAGAAAACATAGAGCCGAAATACAAACAAACCCACTGAATGATCTCACTAAATCACTTCACACTCTGCATCTATCGCTTGGTCGATCAATCTAAAACCTTTAGATCGATCTATCTATCTATCTATCTATCTATCTATCTGTCTGTCTGTCTGTCTGTGTGTGTCCGTCCGTCCATCCATCCATCTATCTATCTATCTATCTATCTATCTATCTATCTATCTATCTATCTATCTATCTATCTATCTATCTGTCTGTCTGTCTGTCTGTCTGTCTGTCTGTGTGTGTCCGTCCGTCCATCCATCCATCCATCCATCCGTCTGTCTGTCTGTCTGTCTGTCTGTCTGTCCGTCCGTCCGTGTGTCCGTCCGTCCGTCCGTCCGTCCGTCCGTCCATCCATCCATCCATCCGTCTCTCTGTCTGTCTGTCTGTCTGTCCGTCCGTCCGTGTGTCCGTCCGTCCGTCCGTCCGTCCGTCCGTCCGTCCGTCCGTCCGTCCGTCCGTCCGTCCGTCCGTCCGTCCGTCCGTCCGTCCGTCCGTCCGTCCGTCCGTCCGTCCGTCCGTCCGTCCGTCCGTCCGTCCGTCCGTCCGTCCGTCCGTCCGTCCGTCCGTCCGTCCGTCCGTCCGTCCGTCCGTCCGTCCGTCCGTCCGTCCGTCCGTCCGTCCGTCCGTCCGTCCGTCCGTCCGTCCGTCCGTCCGTCCGTCCGTCCGTCCGTCCGTCCGTCCGTCCGTCCGTCCGTCCGTCCGTCCGTCCGTCCGTCCGTCCGTCCGTCCGTCCGTCCGTCCATCCATCCATCCATCCGTCTCTCTGTCTGTCTGTCTGTCTGTCTGTCTATCTATCTGTCTGTCTGTGTGCCTGTGTGTCTGTCCGTGTGTCTGTCCATCCATCCATCCATCCATCCATCCATCCATCCATCTATCCATCTATCTATCTATCTATCTATCTATCTATCTATCTATCTATCTGTCTGTCTGTCTGTCTGTCTATCTATCCATCTATATTGCTTTCTTTCTTTTTTTATTTCTTTCTGTCTGTCTAACTATATAGGTTTCAAAATATGAAGCAATAAATATTTTATTCAAAATGAAGACAAGTAGTGTTGGACACTTTCTGGTTGTGGAACATGTTTATTGTTAATATAATATAGGTTAAGTGGCAGTGACATCATACATCTATGAAACATTACCTCAAGAACAGTCAGTTAAAAAAAAGTGGCTCATAAAGGTGAAGTTATGTAAAAGGTCTACCATCATTTGTTTGCAGATGCTACTTTGATATTTTGTATATAATTGAATAAAATGTACAAAAAGTGTACAAAAGTGTGTGCGTGTTTATGTGTGTGTGTGTGTGTGTGTGTTTCACAGTATATGCTTTTTGAACATGCATCATGCAGCACTGTCCTGTAAATGTACTGGCCTGCATAATGCATTGCTCAAGTTGTATCAGGTGCATCATTCAATGTTTGCTTCTAGGTGTTTTATTTCAAATGGACATCGAAACAAAAAGGTCTTGGCTGAAGTATGGTTATTATGTCATCTCTCTCTTTCTGTATGACCACTCCCTCTCTGCCTTTTTTCTCTCTTTCTCTTTGAGCATGAGAGAGTAAGAGAGGACAGAAAAAAACTCTACCACTCTACCAGCCTGTTGGACAGGTAGAGTGGGTCTCCTCATTCAGAAACACCAAGTTATCTCACTGTACAATGTGCTTACTCTGTGAATGTTTGTGTGTGTATGTATATGTGTGTGTGTATGTATGTGTGTGTGTGTGTGTGTGTGTGTGTGAGTACATCTGTATATGTGCTATAGTGTGCACTTGTTTCCTTGTGTCTAAAAATGAATGAGAGTTGGATCCAATATGTTACAAATCTAATATAAGGATTTTGGGGGGAATTTTTTTAAAATAAAAAATATAAGGACGTAAAATGAACATGAAATATTTACGATTCTGTCATAAATCAAATAAACAAATTTGTGAAACTCATCATGTGAACCCTCTATACAGATGATCAGATGTTTGTGCACACAGTGAAGCACAAGAAGCTCTTTGGATAATCTTAAATCTTGGTGGAGAACATGGTCATCAGGTTTTGAAAAAATTTGTAGAGTTCATGCGGCCTGAGTGGTGTTATTACAGTTTTTCTCAATTGCTTTGGCACATTTTTCGAAACATAAATGGTTGAATGGTTGATTCAAATTGTATTGCAATTAGAGGTCATTTGCCAATTTAGCAGACATTACAAACAATGTCAATGTCAGATATTTATGGAATATACATGCGTGTATACCAATTTTTCATAATTGAATGGATCGTTTTGAATGTGATGGCTTACACGATGAAAAATGATTGAGAAGTTGTGAAGAGTTTGACAGTTTAAGTGAGAATCGGCTCATCAGTTTTGATCAACAAGCCATATGCAATTAGTTGTTGTGCAAACTGCAGACAATTGTACTTACTGTTTGCACACATGTGCCAAAGCATTTGCAATTTGCTCAAATCAATAAGAAATTCCAATCTGATGTGAACAAGAAGCTAATTGTTCAGAGATCTGAACTTATTGTTTCGGGAAAAAAAAGTTTCATTCGAGAATTGAGCCAAAGCAATTGAGAAAAACTGTAAAGCAAATAATTTAATTAATAAATTAATAAATGAATTTAATTTATTAATTTATGCATTTAGCAGACGCTTTTATCCAAAGCGACTTACAGTGCATTCAGGCTATACATTTTTTTTACCAGTATGTATAATATAATAATACATTCTGGAATTAATCATTTTCACTTAAACTTAACATTTTGCTCAAATTTAAATGCTGATAATTTGATTTGTAATGAAAAAAAAAATCGGGGAAAATACAAAAGAGAATGTGGAAAGGAGATCTGCATACTTTTTACATTGTCCTGTCATTTCTATGGTAAGACCATTGTCATTTAAATAGCTGTTTTCACAACAAAAACACTGCTGCTCTTGTTCAAATGAATAACAATTGAGTTTGGAAGCACCACATAAGG